GTGCAGTCAAAGCGTCAGGACTCACGCCATAGATCCACACGACCCGGTCACAGAGGAGAACGCACGGGACGCCCCGCCGCCAGCAGGAGTGGGACGCCCCCACCGCCAGCAGGGGTGGGACCGGATTGGCACGGGGTGGCCGCCGCCAGCAGGGGTGGGACCGGATTGGCACGGGGTGGGACCTGGGATGGTGGCAGCATACGCATGGCGGCCATCCCACCATCCCACTCGTCTTCAATCCTCACCAAGTCATAACCCCTCCCGTCTGTCATGGTTGCCGTGCTTCTCTGTGTCCTTTTCAGTGCACGAGGCGAATGAATGTCCTTTTGAGGACTTTTTCCTTTTTCTTTGACAACTTGTCAAAGAAAAAAAACTGACCACTCTGACTTGTCAAAAAAAAGTTGACCAATTTGACCACTGGTCAAAATGACGATTTGACAACTGTCAAAAAAAGAAATTCTTTTTTTGACAAAGTCGATTTCGGCCTCCTTCAAATAGAATCCAAAGCCCGTCCGTTCCACCCAACACAACCGTGCCCGGTGCCGTCCACGCATTTCCAGAGATGGAGGTATGACCACACCCCCGCCACGCCCCGCACGCGGAGAGAGCACTCTGTCTCAGCCTCTGACCCACGCGCCGCCCGTCGAGGGCGGCGAAAACCTAACTTTGTTTTCTTCCAGCACATCAGCGCCACTTGACCCTCCAGTTGTGTCCGAGTTTCATAAAAAGGCGCGCTGCCACCTCAGAACTGACCCCCGACCACGGAATTCCTGGCAGGAAGTGCACATGCCACACACGGTGGAAACGATGCTGAGCGCTGCAAGGGGAAGCGGGTCCTCAAGCGAAGAGGATGGTGACGGGGTCGATCCGGCGCCAGTTGTGCAGCTACACCCTCGCTGGAGGGGCCCTCCCGTCGAGCAGGCGGATGGGCAGGGTGGCAGCTCTCAAGTCGACCCCTAAGCGACCGAATCCGACGACGAGTCTGACGCGGCGCGCCAGCTTGTCAGGACGCAGGTCAAGGCAGAACAAGACCGCAATCTCGAGGCGGACGCGCTGTTCCGGCAGGCCCAGAGGCAGGCCAAGGCTGAGCAAGACCAACGCGA